TGCATACGAGCCGTCATTCGCCTGACGTAGAACTTCGACGGAGGTTGCCAAGGTCTTTGCCGCTCCATATGAGTTTGACATCGTACAAAAATGGATTGCAGAATATATAGTGCATTGGATTACTGGCGGATAGGCTCATTGCCATCGGGGTTGATGAGCTCAGGTGAAACGCATCCTATATGCCGCCTCATGCGCAACAAGATGAAGAACAATTCTTGGTTGTTATTGAACAAAATCGGGGCAAACACTGTTCTTAAAATGTTTTGAAGAAATTATATCATGTCAATATTTCCTATATGTATAAAATATAAATGAATGGTCAAAGAATTTATGGGAACTGTGGGGCAAAGTGCATTCGAAAACAAGTCGGTACTTTATGCTTGCATTCGCATCTAATGTTCAATCTTAAGGGAGTTTACAAACATCATACCTTGCATATTATATTTTCAATTAGATTTAGATAACTTTTGATTGTGCGTCCATTGAATGGACCTTATTTTCAGCGTCATTATCCATTGGAAAATAATACATAGTCGAGTAAAATCAATGTTGACTATGAAACATGAAGATAACTGTTGAATTATAATGTAAAGTATATATATGGAAACTTTTTTCAAAAACCTATTGCAGAAACGTGTATACAACTGGCTGTCGCTGTGAAACTATGGTCACATCAAATACTAATACGAATGGTGTTCTTATTAGCTATTAATAATATTTCCTACTCTATTATTTCTCATTCTAGTAGCATCCTGATTTAAAAACCCATATATTTTCATTAGAAGTGTCGACTAACCTGAAAACACTAAATATTCTTTTTCTTTGGCTGCCAGAGAGACAAAAAACAGGAGCGCCTAAGGTTTTTCAATGTAGCCCGCATCCATTAACTTATTCTTTTAGTATTGTGCTGCAATATGTGCCATTAATATGACACAACGCTAACAACCCAGTCACAGCAACAAACCGATAACAGACGGTTTAGTCGATTAGGAGCCGGTTTGGTGGTTGACTACGGTGTAATGGCTGTACTCTATTCATTATGACCAACGTACATTTATGGAATGGAATTATTGCTAAATCATCCAGTGCATAATGCTCTAATGGATAAGACGAAAAGCTTAATGCATTAGAAGGGTACATAATTTTATTGCATGCCAAAGTAGTTGATTATCAAAGACAGAGAGAGAGAGTGGGAGAGAGAGAAGGGGGTGAGATAGAGGGAGTGTGAGAATTAGAGAGAGAGAGAGGGGGGAGAGAGAGAGAGAGAGAGGGGGGGGGGGCAGATGGAGTAAAAGCGGAGGGACCCACGTTCGTATTCATTAAACTTCGTGAGCTTTTTTGCTTTGAGCTATTATGATGAAGCCATTTCTACCCTTAAAATTGGTAATGAAATTTACTACCAGGAACTAATTTTTGTTTGCGTAGATACTTATCAATATTCGTTACTTGCATAAATCATTTGTTCTACTACATTTTTATTTGATACTGTTTAGTTTATAAACAGTATTTTAAGTTTGGATATTTGAGTGGAAAAATAAATGAATCAAATCAAATCAAATCAACTAAAAACGAATAATGAAATACAACTATTCGACCGATCATTAATTTGCTTGTGACCTCGTGTCGAGAAAGTAATATTATAATTAATGTAGTTGTTTGTCATCTAATTTTGGGCATTAGCACGAGCGATGGGTCGTTCGAAAAGTGGCATGATCACTCAATTATGAGGAAAGTGATTATTTTGATTGCAGCACAGTTTGATGGTGACACGATAGGATGACACACAGAGCGCTGACTTTAAAGGCGGAAGGATCAACTGAACTGTTTACTCTTTACATGTTCGGGATTCACTTGGAAAGGAAGCACCGAAAGAATACTTTTGCAGATAGGTCGCTGTAAATTATGGACAACTTAAGAACATATCCACGGTTTGTGCTCTGATGCATCATATTGATTAAGCCCGAGCGTAGGATTATATAACTCTGTAAAAAATCATTTTGGAAAAAGGGCACTAATCCCGGTGTTTTATTTTCGCTCTGCTACAATGGATGCCAGAGAATTCGCACTCACTTTATGCCGAATCTTGTTGTGCCTATTCAGCGGCTTCAACTTTTTATCCTATATCTTCATTATCGTGTGCATCATCCGACATCCTATTCTTCAAACTATCACCAATTACACCCTGTTCTCGACGGGTGTGGCTCATATTGTTTTTCAATTCATTTGCGTCATCTCAATTTTTGAAATGAAGGACATCTGTTCTGTCAGCAGCCCTTTTATTTATCTAGCATTTATCTACGTCAGTATGGTAGCTGTTTTTGCTAATACTGTTCTGGTCACTATAGAAACCTATCTAAAGGTATGCCATCCCTTCTTATACGCCCGCGTCATTACTGACCGGAAGTGTTTCCTCTTGATCGCCTTGATCTGGGCAATCATCTTTTGCTCTGGAGCCATAGTTGGAAAAGCTGGACATAATTTAAAAGATGAGAACTATGAAAATTGTCCTTTTGCCGCTATTATAGAACATGGTAAAACCTTCGGCAACATGTTGAACATAGTTCTCGTGCCCTCTTTGGTCATCATCAGTGTCTTAAAGTTTCTGGTGATCCGTACTGCGAGAAAACACGCCGGTAGGATAGGAGCTTTGGGCGCAAGAGATCCTCCCCAGCAACTACAACCAAACAGTGACATAGTCGAACAACTACAACAGAAATTCAAGAACATTCGCAAGAGCACCATTAATCTTGCTATCTTTGTTGGAACATACTTCTGTGGTTGGGTACCCTTTTTTATCATTACAAATATCAATTTCTACTCTGGTAACCCGGTGGGTCTCAATGCATCCGTCATCATTTTTATGGTTGTGGCTAATCTGACATCGGTAGGACCATTGGTCTATACGTTAAGACAGACAGAGTTCTCCCGTCTGCAGAAGCGCTACGTCCAACAAATAAAAGCCTACGTACGTGGACATTTAGGAGACATACGCAAGGAGGTTCAGGTAAACGTTATCAAGACCAAACCAACAACAGAGACCGAGTTTGGCGCATCCGTGCCTCAGTAATGCCCATTCGCATTGCAACGAGCCGTCATTCACCTGACGTAGAACTTCGACGGAGGCTGCCAAGGTCTTTGCCGCTCCATATGAGTTTGACATCGTACAGAAATGGATTGCAGAATATATAGTGCACATTGGATTACTGGCGGATAGGCTAATTGCCATCGGGGTTGATGAGCTCGGGTGAATCGCATCCTATATGCCGCCTCATGCGCAACAAGATGAAGAACAATTCTTGGTTGTTATTGAACAAAATCGGTCAAACACTGTTCTAAAAATGTTTGAAGAAATTTAACATGTCAATATTTCCTAAATGTATATAACATAAATGAATATTCAAAGAACTCATGTGAACTGAGAGGGCAATGTGCATTACAAAAGTTGTATTATTATTATGACATTCGCAACCCAAACTAAAGGACACAACAATTGGCAGTATAAAAACAAAACAGGGATATCAAAGATATTGAAATTTAAACATTTCTTTTGGGTTTATAAAAAACATGGATGGTTAGTCCGTTTTTAGTGAATTACCCTACAATATATTACGAAGATTGTGTTTCTATCCATGTAAACCCATTAATGCAGTGAAATGAACTATCTGGAGTACGTGAGAGAAATTTCATTTCAATAACTTAAAAACTTCATGTTAAATTGAAGGATTTATAAAATAAGTCACTATTGCACTAAAACTGTGAATATGTAAGATTTTGTTGTTTGAAGGAGTAATTTATACCCTTATTGTGCATACCGAAATTAAATATTTTAATGATGTATTCTTCAATGTATTATCTTTCGACTGAAACAAAATTTTAAAAATAAATCACAAAAAAAGAGTTTTGGCGCACTTTGGTTCCTCCTGGCCCACTGTGCGGCTTTAAGAACACGATCAGATTCTGAATAGGCATATTTATTTATTGCTCCCCCTAATTACAAGTACTTTTTGTTGCTTGATAACAAGTCTTTAATTTTGTCAAAAAGAAAATCTATATAAAGTTTCAATGAAAGAGAGATAACATGAGAAAACCCATCTTAATCTGATAACGTTCATTATAATCGAAGCTAATTAGGAGGCTCAATACAGTTATTAAACCTGTCATTGCTTGTGGCCTCGTGACCTGAAATAATATTATAATTCATCTAGCTGTTTGCCATATCATTTTGATATAACAGAAAGCGCGAGCGATACTCGTTCGAAAAATGGCATGATCGTTCAATTATGAGGAGAGTGAAGACTTTGATCGTAGCGCAGTTTGGTGTTGACACAATGGGATGACACACGGAGCGCTGACTTTTAAGGCGGAAGGATTAATTGAACGGTTGACCATTCACATGTTCATGATACACTCGATAAGGAAGCAGCGAAAAAGAGCAATTTTGCAGATAGGTCGTTGTAAATTATGGACAACTTAAGAACATAGCCACGTTTTGTGCATTGATGCTAAGGGACGTTATGGGCCACATTTTTTGCTGACAAACTCTGCTTTCAGGTAGTTCACATGAACTATTAAATTATTTTGTCACAGAGACAACTCTAATCAAACAGGAACGTGATAACAATATGATTATGTGATATGCTCCAAATCCATCGTAATCAGGAATCTCTCTTTTAACTCAACATGAGGAAGAATACTTTTCCTAATGCGAAGTATTCCGAGGGAGAAGTTAATTAGACTTTGAGAGGAACGACGACAGTATATATTCTTCAAAATAGGCATAAGTACTTTTGTTTTGCTTTTTGAGTGTAAAGACCATGACTCACATTAACAAGTGAAAGAAGGGTACATCGTAATGTCTAAGCCCGGGTGTAGGATTATATAAAAAAAAAGGCACTGTCTTACTAATCCCGGTGTTTTATTTTCTCTCTGGTAGAATGGAAATACTCACCTTTTGCCGAACCTTGTTGTGCCTATTCAGCGGCTTCAACCTTTTATCCTATATGTTCATTGTCGTGTGCATCATCCGACATCCTAGTCTTCAAACTATCACCAATTACACCCTGTTCTCGACGGGTATGGCGCATATTGTATTTCAATTCATGTGCCTCATCTTCATCTTTAAAATGGAGGACTTCTGTTCCTTCGGCAGCCCTTTGACTTTTCTAGCATTCCTCTTCATCGGTATGGTAGCTGTCTTTGCTAATACTGTTCTGGTCACTATAGAAACCTATCTGAAGGTATGCCATCCCTTCTTATACGCCCGCGTCGTAACTGACCGGAAGTGCTTCATCTTGATCGCCTTGATCTGGGTAATCAGCTTTTGCTCTGGAGCTATGGCTGGAACAGCTGTAAATGGAAATGGAAATGATAATGATGAACGGTGTCCTTTTGCGGCTGTAATTGAAGATCACGGTAGAATCCTCGGCATCATTTTGAACATAACCCTCGTGCCTTCTTTAGTTATCATCAGTGTCTTAAAGTTTCTGGTAATCCGTACTGCGAGGAAACAAGCCATGAGGATAGGAGCTTTGGACGTAAGAGAACCTCCACAACCTCCACAACCTCCACACCAACAACCGAACGATGACATGGTCGAACAACTCCAACATAAAATCAAGAACATTCGGAAGAGCACCATCAATCTTGCTATCTTTGTCGGAACATACATATGTGGCTGGGTACCCATTCTGCTCATTTCAAATATCTCTTTCTACACTAATAAGTCGATCGGTATTCATGCCCCAGTCATCATTTTTCTGGTTGTGGCTAATCTGACATCTGTAGGACCATTGGTCTATACTTTAAGACAGACGGAGTTCTCACGTCTGCAGAAGCGCTACGTACAACAAATAAAAGCCTACGTATGTGGACATTTCGGAGACATACGTATAAGGATCCAGGTAAACGTTATCAAGACCAAACCAACAACAGAGACTGAGTTTGGCGAATCCGTGCCTCAGTAATGCCTATTTGCATTGCATACGAGCCGTCATTCGCCTGACGTAGAACTTCGACGGAGGTTGCCAAGGTCTTTGCCGCTCCATATGAGTTTGACATCGTACAAAAATGGATTGCAGAATATATAGTGCATTGGATTACTGGCGGATAGGCTAATTGCCATCGGGGTTGATGAGCTCGTGTGAAACGCATCCTATATGCCGCCTCATGCGCAACAAGATGAAGAACAATTCTTGGTTGAACAAAATCGGGGCAAACACTGTTCTTAAAATGTTTTGAAGAAATTATATCATGTCAATATTTCCTATATGTATAAAATATAAATGAATGGTCAAAGAATTTATGGGAACTGTGGGGCAAAGTGCATTCGAAAACAAGTCGGTACTTTATGCTTGCATTCGCATCTAAAGTCCAATCTTAAGGGAGTTTACAAACATCATACCTTGCATATTATATTTTCAATTAGATTTAGATAACTTTTGATTGTGCGTCCATTGAATGGACCTTATTTTCAGCGTCATTATCCATTGGAAAATAATACATAGTCGAGTAAAATCAATGTTGACTATGAAACATGAAGATAACTGTTGAATTATAATGTAAAGTATATATATGGAAACTTTTTTCAAAAACCTATTGCCTAAACGTGTATACAACTGGCTGTCGCTGTGAAACTATTGTAACATCAAACACTAATACGAATGGTGTTCTTATTAGCTATTAATAATATTTCCTACTCTATCATTTCTCATTCTATTAGCATCTGGATTTAAAAACCCATATATTTTCATCAGAAGTGTCGACTAACCTGAAAACACTAAATATTCTTTTTCTTTGGCTGCCAGAGAGACAAAAAACGGGAGCGCCTAAGGTTTTTCTATGTAGCCCGCATCCATGAGTATTGTGCTGCAATATGTGTCATTAATATGACACAACGCTAACAACCCAGTCACAGCAACAAACCGATAACAGACGGTTCAGTCGATTAGGAGCCGGTTTGGCGGTTGACTATGGTGTAATGGCGGTACTCTATTCATTATGACCAACGTACATTTATGGAATGGAATTATTGCTAAATCATCCAGTGCATAATGCTCTAATGGATAAGACGAAAAGCTTAATGCATTAGAAGGGTATATAATTTTATTGCATGTCAAAGTAGTTGATTATCAAAGACAGAGAGAGAGGGAGAGAGAGAGAAGGGGTGAGATAGAGGGAGTGTGAGAATTAGAGAGAGAGAGAGCGAGAGAGAGAGAGAGAGAGAGAGAGAGGGGGCAGATGGAGTTAAAGCGGAGGGACCCACGTTCGTATTCATTAAACTTCGTGAGCTTTTTTGCTTTGAGCTATTATGATGAAGCCATTTCTACCCTTAAAATTGGTAATGAAATTTACTACCATGAACTAATTTTTGTTTGCGTAGATACTTATCAATATTCGTTACTTGCATAAATCATTTGTTCTACTACATTTTGATTTGATACTGTTTAGTTTATAAACAGTATTTTAAGTTTGGATATTTGAGTGGAAAAATAAATGAATCATATCAAATCAAATCAACTAAAAACAAATAATGGAATACAACTATTCGACCGATCATTAATTTGCTTGTGACCTCGTGTCGAGGAAGTAATATTATAATTAATGTAGTTGTTTGTCATCTAATTTTGGGCATTAGCACGAGCGATGGGTCGTTCGAAAAGTGGCATGATCACTCAATTATGAGGAAAGTGATTATTTTGATTGCAGCACAGTTTGATGGTGGCACGATAGGATGACACACAGAGCGCTGACTTTAAAGGCGGAAGGATTAACTGAACTGTTTACTCTTTACATGTTCGGGATTCACTTGGAAAGGAAGCCCCGAAAGAATACTTTTGCAGATAGGTCGCTGTAAATTACGAACAACTTAAGAACATAGCCACGGTTTGTGCTCTGATGCTAAGGAAGGGGACATTATGGGCCACATTTGTTGCTGACGAACTCTTCTTTCATGTGGTTCATATGAACTATTTAGTTATTTTGTCACAGGGACAACTGTAATCGTACAGGAACGTGATAACAATAAGATTATGTGATATGCTCCAAATCCGTCGTAATCGGGTATGTATAATCGAACAAGTGGAAGAAACCTCGCCAAAGGCGAAGTAATCTGAGGGGAAAATCAATGAGACTTTGAGAGGAACGACCACAGTATATATTCTTCAAAATAGGCATAAGTACTTTTGTTTTGCTTTTTGAGTGTAAAGACCATGACTCACATTAACAAGTGAAAGAAGGGTATATCGTATTGTCTAAGCCCGGGTGTAGGATTATATAACTCTGTGATTAATCCATTTGGAAAAAAGGCACTGTCTTACTAATACCGCTGTTTTTTTCTCTCTGGTAGAATGGGCGTACTCATTTTATACCGAATCTTGTTGTCCTTATTCAGCGGCTTCAACATTTTTTCCTATATCTTCATTGTCGTGTGCATCATCCGACATCCTAGTCTTCAAACTATCACCAATTACACCCTGTTCTCGACGGGTGTGGCTCATATTGTATTTCAATTCATGTGCCTCATCTCAATTTTTAAACAGGACGTCTGTTCCTTCGACAACCCTTTCACTATTTTAGCATTCTTCTACATCGGTATGGTAGCTGTTTTTGCTAATACTGTTCTAGTCACTATAGAAACCTATCTAAAGGTATGCCATCCCTTTTTATACGCCCGCGTCATAACTGGCCGGAAGTGTTTCCTCTTGATCGCCTTGATCTGGGTAATCAGCTTTTGCTCTGGAGCTATGGCTGGAACAGCTGTAAATGGTTTAGAACATGGTAGCAATTATGAAAGATGTCCTTTTGCGGCTGTTATTGAAAATCACGGTACAACCCTCGGCATCATTATAAATATAACCCTCGTGCCTTCTTTGGTCATCATCAGTGTCTTAAAGTTTCTGGTGATCCGTACTGCGAGGGAACAAGCCGGTAGGATAGGACCTTTGGACGCAAGAGAACCTCCACAAAAACAACAGCCAAACGCTGACATAGTCGAACAACTCCAACGGAAATTCAAGAACATTCGCAAGAGCACCATTAATCTTGCTATCTTTGTCGGAACATACTTCTGTGGTTGGGTACCTTTTCTTATCATTTCAAATATCAATTACTACTCTAAGAACCCGGTGGGAAGCCATGCAACATTCATCATTTTTGGGGTAGTGGCTAATCTGACATCGGTTGGACCATTGATCTATACTTTAAGACAGACGGAGTTCTCTCGTCTGCAGAAGCGCTACGTCCAACAAATAAAAGCCTACCTATGTGGACATTTAGGAGACATACGCAAAAAGGTTCAGGTAAACGTAATCCAGTCGAAACCAAGAACAACAGAGACCGAGTTTGGCGCATCCGTGCCTCAGTAATGCCCATTCGCATTGCACACAAGCTGTCATTCGCCTGACGTAGAACTGTGACGGAGGCTGCCGAGGTCTTTGACGCTTCATATGAGGCTGACGTCGCGCAAAAAATGGATCGCAGAATTTATAGTGCATACGATGCGACGGATTACTGGCGTAGAGGGTGTAACGTAGCCGACATGACACCTCATGCGCAACAAGTTGGAGACAAATTCTTGGTTGTCATTGAACAAATGATATCATGTCAATATTTTCTTTATGTAATATATAAATGAATGGTCAAATTATTTATGTCAACTGTGAGGGTAAACTCCCATCTAGACGGACATTACAAACATCATACCAGTTGCAAATTGTATTTTCTATTGGATAGATAACTTGGGATTGTTCGTCCATTATAATGACATTTTTTCAGTATCATTGTCCATTGGATATTGATACACAGTCGAGTAAAATCAATGTTGATAACTGTTGAATTAAACGAAAAGTATGAAAATGAAAACCTTTCTAAAAACCTATCGCAGAAACATGTATACAACTGGTTGTCATCAATTACTAATACGAATGGTTCTAATTAGCTATTAATAATATATCCTCCTCCATCCTTTCTTATTTTATAGTAGCATTCTGATTTGAAAGCCCTTTATCAGAAGTGTCAACTAACCTGCAAACGCTAAATATGCATTTCTTTGGTTGCCATAGAGACAAAAAACTGGAGCACCTAAGGATTTTCTTTGTACCCCGAATCCATTAATTAATTCATAGAGTCCTGTGTTTCGATATATGCCATTAATATGCCACAACGCTAACAACCCAGTCACTGCAACGAACCGATAATAGACGGTTCAAACAATTACATTACCCCCCAATGGCAAAAGTCAGTCGATAAGGAGTAGGTAAGGAGTTGGTTTGGTGGTGTGACAGAGGTGTAATGGCGGTACTCTATTCATTATGACCTACGTACATTTTATGGAATGGAACTACTGCCCATTCATCCATTGCATAATGCTCTAATGGATAAGACGAAAGGCTAAATGTATTACAAGGGTACCTATGGCATATCAAAGTAATTTATTATTAAAGACAGAGAGAGAGAGATAGAGAGAGAGATATATAGAGAGGGGGTGAGATAAATAGAGAGAGAGAGAGAGAGGGGGGGGGGAGTGAGATAGAAATAGAGAGAGAGTGAGAGGGATAGAGGTTACTCTTATCTTTTCACATTGGCTCTCTCCTTCCAACCAAAAAGTCATTATTTATTCCACCTTTCGCCAACCGGCAATGCATTTTCAGGTCTTTGCTGAAAGGACAATGCAAACCACACAACTGAAAAAAATTAACCTAAACATTACAAATTTAAGCCTTGAACTCGTTTTCACTTTCTTTTACTTAAACCGGGCCTAATTAATGATCGAAAAACCTGGCGCTAATCTTATTTCACAGACCTCAACAATTATTCATTTCCGTCACTAAATAAAGATTGTGTACCCTTTATACCTTACACACCAATCACACCAACATGACTGACCAGAGACCGACAAGAAACCGGAAAAACCGAATGGCCAAGAATCGGTACGTTTGGAGTCGATTTGCAGTCGGTTCGAAGGTGT